GCGACTTTTATTTTCTGTTTTTTGAAGCATAGGTCCTTGTTGTGGCCATTTATTTTTGTTTTTCAATTTTTGTTGAATTGGAGGAGAAAGGGATCATTGTATGTGGATGTTATGGTGAAGGGTTGTTGTGCTTGTTGAGTATATTGTTGTTGATGTTAGGCTGTCGATCATTATCTTTACCAATCTTGAAGAACCCATTGATATCAATTCACTTGAAAAGACTCTTAGAAGAAACCTTAGGGAATCTGAAATTTTAAGAGGAACCGAAATTGGAATCAATACCATGGCAGAAAATAATAAAAATGTTGAAAATGTTGAAAGAAACCTTGAAGGGGCTGAAAATCCAATGCAGCACCTGGTGCCTCTTAGGGACCATTTCATCCCTACAACATATAGCTCCCCTTCGTGCATTGTAATGCCAAATATCAATGCACACCAATATGAGATCAAATCAAGCAAATTCCAAATGCTTGCATCATTCCATGGCTTTGATAACGAAGATCCCTACAAGCATCTTAATGAGTTCCTTGAAATTTGCTCTACCATCAAGATGAGGGACTTCTCCCAAAATGCACTCCATATGCGTCTCTTCCCATTCTCCATGAAAGATGGAGCAAAATATTGGTTGAACTCCCTTGTTGCAAATTCCATCACTTCATGGGCTCAATTGAAACAAGAATTCCTCAAAAAATATTATTTGGTGAGTAAAACCAATCAAATGAGGTGTTCCATTCTTGGTTTTTCCTCAATTGATGGGGAACAATTCTATGAGACTTGGGAAAGACTTCAAGATCTTCTTAGGAAGTGTCCGCACCACCAAATTCAAAAATGGCAATTGGTGCAAGCTTTCTATGATGGTTTAACCGAACCACATAAACAAATGGTTGACTCATCATGTGGAGGAATGTTTATGTCCAAAAATTCGAACGATGCTTGGACCTTACTTGAGAATTTGAGTGAAAATTCATTACAACATAATTCAAATCCTAGAAAGGCTAGTCAGAAGGTGACATCTCATTATTCTTTCTGCCAGAATTTTCAATTGACGTTGCACTCCAAATTTAACCCCTCAAATGTGCGAATTTGACTTCCATTAAAACATAAAGTATTTAGGGTTATGAATCAGCTTTCCACATAACCAAACTTTACATCAATTTGACTTTTAATCAAAGAGTTATGCCCTTTCTACTGCAGGTGTGCAATGCTGACTTCTGATAACCTGACAGTATTCTAGTAGCAGTAACATGCGATCTTGTTCTCCAAATCTGACCCCTCAAATGTGCGAATTTGACTTCTATTTAAACATGAAGTGTCTAGGGTTATGAATCAGCTTTCCATGGAAATTAAACTTTGCATCAATTGGATTTTTAATCAAAGAGTTATGCCCTTTTTACCACAGGTGTGCAATGCTGACTTTTGACAACCTGACAGTATTCTGCAACCGTGAAATGCGACCTTGTTCTCCAATTTTGACCTTTCAAATGTGGAAATTGGACTTCCCTTAAAACATATAACCCACTTAGATCTCTAAGCTAGCTTTCCATAGAATCAAATGGTTCATCATTTGGAGTTTGGAACAGAGAGTTATGGCCAAAATGCCACATGTGGGCAGTGCTGATTTTTGCTAGAATTACTTTTTGCTTCTTCTTGGGTTGAACTAGGGGCCAATGAATTCAGCCTTCTTCCTCATTGTAATGCTGAATGTGTCCATGAGATATTGGGCCATCTTTCTTTAGAAATCACTGACATTCAGGCTCGGAATGGTTATTGACGAGCCTCTTTCTATGTGATAGAAAATCGACTTTTTAATGCGAGAGCTCGCTTCGCAAGGTCAAAATATGAATGTGGTTTAGGAAGCCTTTCTAGTCAAATTTACATTTATAAAACCATTACTACAACTAATGAAGTATAGTGAGTAGGGATCGTCCACAGAGATTATATGTGTTGGAATTTAACTTCGACTCTAATGTACCAATTGATTGCAAAAGAGAGAGATTGGATGATTAAACTAAGATGCAAGGAAATTAAAACGCAATTAAAATGAACTAAGTTGAGTTAGATGAGAAGTGACGTCTCGGGGTGCATTGGAATCGCCACCAAGCTCGTTCACCAAACCACACACTTTCAACTAATTTGGGGGAAACATTCTTGTGAACAAAATGCGACTACCAATTGCAATATTAAGCATGAACCATCAAATTAAAGAATGAATTGTCTACCTAACCGACAAATAAACTAAGTGTAGCACAACCCATCAATTCTAAGCATGACCCATCAAACTAGTCACAATTGTAGCACACATCAATCTAGAGAATCGTGGAATTTGCAACAATAAGCCATGGAATATCAAATCAAGTAAAGATTGTCTACATACCTACAAGCATAAATTAAATTGTAGAACAACCCATCAAGCGTAAGAATAATCCATCAAATTAATTGACAAACCCATCGAATAAAAACTATGTCTAGCCATCACTAGATTCTCAATCAACCACACATAGACATACAATTAATATAGAAAAACTAGTGTAGAGATCAATTCCCAAATAATCACACATAAGATATGTAATCATATAGAGAATCAATAGAAAAAATTAATCCATATGAATCATGTGAGACATAATTCCCAATTTAATCACACATAGACATATAAATAAACTAGAGAATTAATAGTTCCCTAAAAAGTATGAAAAAGATAGAGGTTTAGATTACAAACTTGGGGCTCATCCAAGCCCCAAGAAGAAGTCTAGCCAATCATGGAAGAGGTGGGTATGAACTTGGAACCCTCGAGGGCAATTCCTAAACATGGCTCCATCTTCTTCCTCTTCTTCTTTGTTGAATTTTAGAGAGAGAGTGTGTAGATCTAGAAATGTATTCTTAGAGCCTCCATTCTTCTCTTTTTTTCTAACCCTAATCTCTAACTTTTCTAGAGAGAAAAAATAAAAATTACAATGTAAAAATAAAATGATAAAAAACTCTTTTACAAAATGGTTCAATTCCCTTTAAATACAAAGTCCTTTTCTTAGTCACTAAGTCAAAAATACAGCCCAAAAATATCTAATCCCGCAACTATGTGGTAGGTAGAGTTTGGGCGCACGGGAATAAGACAGCTCGCTACCAGCACATTTTCGATCGATCCAAAATATCTTCGATCCATTAGAGTTCGATCGATCTAACTTTTCTTCGATAGATTAGAGTTCGATCGATCTCACTTTTCTCCGATCGATCTCACTTGGCAGTTTTCAGCATCAGCCTCCTTTTTGCTTCAGATCAGCCTCCTTTTGCTCCAGATTCTCACTAAGACTTAGTTTGACTCCAAAAAGGCCTTAATAAAATATTTTTAGCCCGTTTTAACTTTATTGACCTGAAATAGACAAAAACATGAAATTAGACTAAAACGGAAAAATAAGATAAAAATAAGGTCCTAGAATACTCAAGCTTAAGAGGCGAAATACAAAACGCACATGTAGTGCTCTTCAATTTTATGTGGATTAATGCACAAGATATGGGAGCATATTAGAGACGGATTAACTAACAAGTTAAGTCCTACCTATTCCTGTCAGGCCACGGAACCATTTGAATGACATGCCATTAAAAGAATATAGCGGATAGTTTATTTTTCTATTTTGAATAGGATGGACTTATACATATATAGATATGTACCATGATATGAGCTTAGAGTCTCAGGATCAACATATATTGCCTGGGATGCATAGCTGGATATAGTAGATAGATGTGTACCTTGTTAAATTTAGGTACTCATGCCCACTACATGTGCGTTTTGCATTTTGCCTACTATTCAGGTTAAGGCTGTCATATATTCCAGTGAGAGTCCTTTAGTGTTTGTGTGTATATATATATATATATACAGACTATTTAGTTATTATTGAGTTGACTAGGATGTATACGTGTATCAGGTCTCTGTTTGGGATGTAGTAAAGTAGAACTTGTTCGTGGGCCTGCCCACTATTATTTTTTAGGCGTTCCGTCAGTTCTAGACTTGAAGATTGTTCGTGCTAAGCAAAGACAATCTATTCACCCTTCCAATTCTACGTAGGATTCTTCTTTATGTTTTAGTCTTTGGATTTGGTTTTATTTCAGTTATTTTCAGTTTGGGAGTTTATTAGGGGTCCGGATTCCGGAGTTGTAATCTAGATGGTTACTGGTATCAAGGGATTTGAATTTATTAATGGAGGATTTATTCTACAGGATTATTATTAGAGGATTTTATTAATTAGTTTCTTTCCGCTTATTTATTTATTCTTATTTATCTTTTGTATTCAATGTTTGTTTATTACTTTAATTGTTTGATATCCCTCGGTTTTGGGCTTGGGCCTAATCAACCCATTGCTTTAGAATCGAGGGGTATCACACTACTCTTCCATTAAAAATACAACACTTAATATGGAAGACATCTCTATTAGGAATTGAAAATGTTTACAAGAAAACTCTCTAAGAGCTGATTAAAGAAGACTCAAAATGTAATCTAAAATTAAGTGTCAAAACCTAGCCCTTTCTTTCTCCTTATATAGGAGAAGAATACAATAAAATAAACCCGTAAGTTATCCAAAAATATGATCTAACATTTTGCATATCGTTGTTATTTCAAAGTTGACGGCTGTGCAAAACCTGGCAAGTGTAGAATTCGATTTTGCTCCATATTTATGACCTATAAAATGTCGAAATTAGAGCTTAGCCAAAACATAAAAGATCTTAATCTTAAAGTCTTCTTTCCAAATCATCAAACCGTGCATAGCTTGTGATGTTTGTAGGTATCATCTCTGGAAACATTCACGAGACAACACTCGTCCTCTAAGGGTAACTTAAAGGTTTAAAGGCTTGTTGCATATGCTAAATGCAATCGTCATTCTCACGAAAGAAGATTCATCTTTGTTGTTTCATTATATTTTTTTAGTTTTGTTTTGCTAAGGGACTAGCAAAATGCATTGGGGGGGGGGGGGGGGGGGGGGGTGCGATGAGCACCGAATGTTACACATTCAAGCTCTCTTATGTTCATAATTTAGTCCTTTAAGTTGTTCATAATATAGGGTTGGGATACATGCTTTGATCCAGCAAACAAAAGTAGGTGGGAAACTAAATAGAAAAAGAGTATCAAGCATAAAGTCTCAACCCATTAATTTCTACACGGCTTGATGATTTGGAAAGCTCATTCAGATATCTATGTATTCCATGTTTTGAGAACAGGACATTGTCACCTCGTTGGGCCAACCCCAAAAGCAAAGCCCAAATATGTTCAAAATTGCAAATCTGCGCAGCATTCGTATTTTGGACATAACTTATCGCTAAGAAATCTGATCCAGGTGATTCTTGCGGCCACGAAAAAAGGATCAATGAATAAGAGTACAACATTCTTCAAGATACAAGAACTCATTGAAGCTTGTGGTTCTCAAAGAAAGAAGATGGATTCATATGCAAATGATAATACTAACCTTAGAAGCATTAATTATTTGAACAAGTGGTTACTTGGTTCTTCATTGCAACTTCATCCCCTAAGCCTAAAAAGAAAAGCCCAAATCCGTCCAAAATTGCAAATCTGCAAAGCGGTCGTATTTTGGACATAACTTGTCGCTTAGAAATCCGATTCAGGTAATTCTTGCGGCCATAGAAAGAAGACAAGAAGCTCTAAGTATTCCCAGTTATGATGATTTTCTAAATTCAACATCTTGGGGGTCAAATTCGGCTAACAAAATAGCATTTTTCTATGCACATTTTCTGGGCAGATTTCTACTAATGTGATCTTGAGACAAGTGTCCAATGCTCATACATGCATGATACTTCTAGGAGGATGATAAATCTTATTTTGAAGGTATCCTAGCAAGTCATAATATCATGGATATCAAAAAAAATGGAAGGACAAGTTCATCTTGAATTTCTCATCCTAAGAGGCAAAATCAAGCTTGTCTGCCAACTGAAGGCTACCTTGGCATTTTGGTCATAACTCTCAGCACAAAACTGCACAATGTTAGATCATGTTTTTTGACAACTTGTGAGCTTATTTTATTGTATTTTTCTCCTATATAAGGAGGAAGAAAGGGCCAAGTTTTGACACTTAATTTTAAATTATATTCTTAGTCTTGATTCATTAGCTCTTAAAGAGCTTTCTTGTAAACATTTTCAGATTTCTAATAGAAATGTTTTACATATTAAATGTTGTATTCTTAATGAAAGAGTATAACTTTAGTTAAGGCTAGGGGATGAAGTTGCAATGAAGAACCAAGTAACCAATTGTCCAAATAATTAATGCTTCAAAGGTTAGTATTATCATTTGCAAATGAATCTATCTTCTTTCTTTGAGAACCACAAGCTTCAATGAGTTCTTGTATCTTGAAGAATGTTGTACTCTTATTCATTGATCCTTTTTTCGTGGCCGTAAGAATCACCTGGATCAGATTTCTGAGCGATAAGTTATGTCCAAAATACGAATGCTGCACAGATTTGCAATTTTTAACATATTTGGGCCTTGCTTTGGGGCTTGGCCCAATGAGGTGACAATGTCCTGTTCTCAAAACATGGAATACATAGATATCTGAATGAGCTTTCCAAATCATCAAACCGTGTAGAAATTAATGGGTTGAGACTTTATGCTTGATACTCTTTCTCTATTTAGTTTCCCACCTACTTTTGTTTGCTGGATCAAAGCATGTATCACAACCCTATCATTTACCGTGTCCATTAATGGGGGAGTTCAATGACCATTTTCAGATGGTCAAAGGTTTAAGACAGGGGAGATCCCATCTCTCCTTTGCTATTAGTGTTAGCAATGTAAGTTTTTTACTCCATTATTACCAAGGTTATTGCCGAGAGGCCCTACTTCAAGTATCACTCCAAGTGCAAGAACCTAGTCATCTCTCACTTAATTGATGATCTCTTATTATTCTGCCATGGGGATCTACTATCCGTCTCCACACTCAAGCAGGCACCTAAACAATTCTCTACCCTATCTGGTCTAAATGTAAACAACTCAAAAGGTGTTTTCTTTAAATCAAGGGTAGAAAGCACCATGGTTAATGATATCAAAACTCTACTGGGATTTGACTCTGGAGAATTACCTATCAAGTATGTAGGAGTGCCATTGCTTTCAACTAGACTTAAAATCACAGATTGTAGAGGACTAATTGAAAAGATTATTCGCAGGGTTCCTCACTGGTCCTCTAACCTCCTATATTGGATGAATCCAACTCATTCCGTCGGCTCTATATAGCATGCTTAACTACTAGTCAAGCTTATTCATCTTGCTTATGTCAGTAATCGAGGTCAACAAGATTTTAAGAAATTTCCTATGGATTGGAACTGATAACAAGTGTACAGGAGCCAAGGTTACATGGTCTGCTGTGTGCCAACCTAAGGAATGTGGGGGGCTGGGATTCAGAAGTCTAAGCACTGCAAATACGGCTGCCAATTTGAAGCACCTATGGAATATTATTTCTAACAGGAGAGATAACATTTGGGCACAATGGGTTAGAATCCAATTAATACGTAATAGATGTTTATAGTATGCTCTTCAAATTGGAAGAGGATTTTACAACCAAGGGACGTGGTTAGGACAATGAGCAGGTGAAGGGAAGAGGAGATCATACTTTTTTTTGGGAGGAGAATTGGTTACAAGGAGGGCCTCTTACCCTACGTTTCTCCCCAGATGCGATCCTTAACTAAGGCATCCCTCTACGCCAGAAGCTTTCTTCATTTGTGCAGAACAATGAGTGAACCTTCCCAAATGCGATAACATAACTAGTTCCGAAACTTAACCATATTGATGCCCCTGGCAGCAAACCGGATTCTTATAGTTGAATCCACTCTCCAACTGGGGTTTTTCACAGTCAGCCACACAATTCAATGGCTTGCCCCTCACCACCAACCAGTTCCATGGCAGCATCTTGTATGGAATTCATTGTCGGTACCAAAATGATCCAAGTTCAGGCTCTGGTTAGTTGTGCAGAAGCGCCTCTCTACACTTGATCGCAGTTGTATGCAATCGGCACCAGGCCCAAAGCTTTGTCTTTTTTGTCAATCGGTGGATGAATCGCACGACCACCTCTTCTTTGAATGTTCATTCATTCGACCGATTTGGGCTGTACTCCAACAGAAGAGCCGATTTAATTTTCCGCACCCTCATGGCGTGATTTAATTGCTCGAGCCTCTAATCGTTGGCGAGGAAGGTAGCTTCTCATCTCCGTCAACAAACTCGTGCTCTCCACCACGATTAACCGAATATGGACTGAACGCGATAATCGGAAACATAAAAATCAGAGATGCTCTCAGATGGCGCTTCTAAAGCAAATCACTGATATGGTTCGGCAGAGATTACTTACGAGGCATGTGAAGGACTTTGTTGATGCCATGCGCTTACAATTGGATTGGGACCTTCCTTCTAGCTTCGTGCGTCCACCACTAGAGCCAGATTGAGAGATCGGGGGCCAAGTACCAACTCGCCGCGCCTCTATTGCTCACCGGATCGTCTTTTTGCATAGACATCAATAGTCTAGATATTTAGACTAGAAATGTCATTGATCAATGTTGTATGTTCTCTCTTGTTGATGTAGGGTATCATTCTTGTTTAGGCTCAATAAAATATGAAAAATACATATTTTTCATATTTCTAGAATTAAACAAAAGGATTTGCAAATAAAAGTGCTAATGCTACAACTAGTCCATAAATTGTTAAAGCTTCCATAGAGTACCTCTTATTTTTCCCTCCAATGCTTGGGCAATGTTTGTTGGGGTTCCTGCCTGTTTTCGTTTGGGCTTGGCCCACTTGTACATTTCTTATATCTATACAACAAGTTTACATTCCAGAAGAGAAAAAAAATAAAAAATAATAATAAAAAAATTGATAATGCAAAAAAGACAAGTTTACTACAACATGACCATCATTTTAATTACATTTTACCAAGAGTCAATGTATGTGCAAGACTCACTGCAAGACCATCCCCTTATATGGGAACATAATGCCTTATAAAATGGTACAATTTTGGAATAAGTGTCGCTTACCATTTTGTCCCCTAAACGAGCACAGCCTTTTGGAACTTGTGTAGCAACTTTTGTTTACCTCGCAAGTCTTGATATTTTTGTCTCTTTTCCTATAAACAAGTAATTTAAAGTGACCACGCCGCTAGACAAGGAATTAAAGGATTCCACATTGTGAGGATTTGTGGAATTGGTGGAATAGGAAAGACAACCATTGCCAAACCTATTTTGAACAAATATTCAATCAATTTAAATTTGATAGAAGTTTCAAAACAAAATGGTTTAACGTATCTACAAGAACTTCAGCAATATTGTTTTTCACAATTTCAAGGACACAAATACTTTCAAATTGATTAAATATTCGGTTGAATAGCTTTGGCAATGGTTGTCTGTCCTATTCAGCCAATTCCCCAATTCCACACAACGCGTACATCATTTAATCAATGGTCTAGCAAAGTGATCACTTTGTTCACGGGAATCCATCCCCAATTGGTGCTTGTCAACATTTAACAATATATGCCCCAAATTCTTTTATAATCTCTTGAATAATCTTCACCTCATGCCTGTCAAGCACGAAGCATAATAAAAGTTATGGAAAAAAAAATAAATAAATAGCCACAATGCATATTAAAAAAAATAATAATAAAATAAAAAAAAATCAAGCCCATGCGTCTGATTGTATTAATAAGAAAAATAAAAATTAAAACATACTATAATGAATATCATTTGTGCCAATGTAATGTGGTATTGTACACAATTTTAAATAACAACACATTAATTGAAGTGAAGGACTTCAAAAACAAGTTGTCCTTTCAACATGTCATTGATGGTCCCAACTCCCAACCAAATTGAGAATAATTTTTTTTTTTCTCTAAATTACGGCAGAAGTTCTTTGAATTTTTCTCTTTCAGTAGGCCGGCTCTCGTTTAGTAAAGAAAATGACCTAACATTTTATGAGTTGGTGGCCTTTATTTGCATTCCTCGAGTTAAAATCTTTTTCCATAAAATTTACAAATACTGTATGTTTTTATACGATCCAAACACTTGTGATAGACCTGTGAATGGATCACGGTTGATCCAATCCGAATCTGACATCCATAATATATGATCCGATCCGATCTGACAATCAAAAAGATTTTCATAATCCATCTCCTTTATCAATACCAGATCCAAAAACCCGATCCGTTTACAATTTTCACAAATCAAACAATTGGTGCAAACAATTGTCTCACTATTACTAGTCAAAGAAATGAAACACCAAAACATCAGCATGGCATGGTTTACTAAAAAAAACAATTAATAGATCACAAATTATTGTAACAGTGACATAAAAACTAAAAGAGAGAAAGGAAAGAAAGATAGAGGGGAGGGGGAAGAAGAAGAGGAAAAGGAAAAGGAGAGGGGATAGCCAAACACAATACTCACCAGGCGAGGATTCCGGCTGTCGATGGATCAGCTCTATACCTTCGTCGTTTTTCTCGAGGCTGAAAGTAGTATATAGCTCTCGAATGAGTTGGATGTATTATTGAAGCTTAATGCGATGAGCACTAGGGTTACGGGAGTTGATGGTTATATAGTACCCTTGGTAGGTGAGAGCACCAAACTTTCGCGGTATATGGGGCCCATCCAGTGTGGTGTGCGAGGGAGAAATGAATGAATATAATGTGAGTGGAGGAGTAATTATCAGTCTCACGTATTAGTTAAAGGTTTTTGGATGGTGATTCACTGATTCCGTGTCTCACAAAAAATCATAAGCCTCTGCGAAAAGCCTGATGGAAAATATTACTAGTATAAGAATGACTTGTCCTACGCTAAAATCAAATAAATAAATAAATATGGATTGAGTATTAATTCTAATTAATGAATTTAATGCGGCCACTTAATTTTTTTTAAATAAATATTTATTATTTTTTTTTATAAATTTTTTTAAACTTATTTTTTTGAATGATTTGATAGTTTTTTTTTTTTAAACGACTATATAAAATTATACACTATCTCCTTCACGGATAAAGGGATATGAGAAATGTTATGGTTGAGATGGGTTGCCTAATTGAAATAAATATCTGGAAATATGTAGGTTTTTTTTTTTCTTTCTTTTATTTGATAGAAAGACTAAAAGTCAAACTCCCAAAGATTTGAATGATGAAAATTCAGTAAAATGAGTGTTAAAAGGATAATAATTTGGTGTAAAAAAAATTTAATAGGCCAAATGGCTATTTTGCAATTGCAACAGCTCAAACAAATAAAAAACCTGCTGATTTTATTATAAAAATAATATATTTTTATAGTAACCGTTTTTAAAACTTTTGAGAATTATTTTAGAGTGACAAATAGCTATACTCTCCTTGTAATTATAACATGTTTATATTATTTTTACTTTTAACGGGAGCTGAAGGTTTAATGTGCTTATGTCAGAAACATTACACTATGAAATGTCATATTTGTCCTTATTTTTTCACCTTTTAGGCAAATTTATATAATATACATTGAAAAAAAAGAGAGTAAAATAACATTTCTTTTGCTGGTAGTGCACCCTGATTGCCATTTGGGTAGATTTTTCTTTGTTGTTGGGCAGGCTAGGCCCCATTCGATGGTTGCCCTGCGAGTAAAACAGCTATTGTCGGCCAGTCAGTGGTGGAAAACTCTCTCGGTGTAACCATTGTCCGACAACACAGGCGTTGTATCGTATCATTAGAGATTTTTCACTCCAATCTTTGAAGAAATTATAATCCAAGCATGATATCTCCACGAGGGAGAATCCTCTACATTGGACGGTGAACCGTTGCTGTCAATTGGACTTTAGAAAAGCCACAATGGTCATCGTTGAACAACTCTCGTCTCACTCTCACCTCCTAGACGAAAAAAAAAAAAAAAAAATAAATAAATAAATAAATTATAATGCAACCATTATATTTTCACGAGTCGGGATCCATATTCAAACTTTTACTTCAGCACTTGGCATCCCATGAAAGGGCTTTCAGAATCTTTAATTTCCTAGCTATCTATCAAATCATTACTACTGTCTCTGGTAAGAAACCATTTCTTGACAATCTGTTTTCCAATGCCAACTCATACAAGCATACAATTCAAAGATGGAATACCTTTGCGGTGCATGTCCAAGTTTGAGTGAGATAAGTTTCCATGTTTCTCTCTTGCGGGGGATGCTACGGATTAAACACCAAGCTCTGCAGCACAATAAACTTGTGAGAATAGAATTAAACCTAAACAGAAACACAGTGTACGAGAATAAACTCTGTTGTTAAGATACGTTAATATCCAAAAGAGTACATCAATCCAAACATATATATAAATATATATATATATATATATTAGCAAAACCATCATGGAGTATACAATCACAAAGGCAAGCCGTAAAAAGGTACATGGAAAGAGGATGTCTTTATTGGAAATTGGAACACTAAATTGAGTAGTTAAACCCTAAAATTGTTGGGTAGTTGAATGCGGTTAATGAATAAGGAAATCTGGAACTTATATAGGGCAAGGGTCACTCCACCTAATAGGTTAACTTTTTGGGTTGAATACCTACAAACCCAACAACTGGTATCAGAGAAAAGTCCCAAAGAACCACATGTGAACTCCAGATCCCCTAGCTGGCAAGACCGGTGACATTCTCTCCATAATGACGTGTCAAATTCTATTATAATGACTTAATTATTTGAGTCATATTTTACATGTAGTACTTAAGCGCAGTCTTGCGAGGATGTGAGTACGAGTAAAGAGAGTTTACCAGTGTTATAATATTTCTACATTTATATAGTGAAATCTCCTCATCCATTAGCTCTGAATTTGGTTAAACTATGTAAATCTTGCGTTGTGATATGGAATAACTTTTCTTTCTTCTTGTTTAATATTTCGTTTCCGCTGTGCCCAACAAAAACGAGATTTTAAGGATCATTATTATATGGACTCCTCAGATAAATAACAGCCTCACTTATGTTTTAAGGCACTTTCAAGTTATAATTTCCGAGAGCCTGGTTTTAACCAAAAAATCTTCTTACCCCCTTTGCAGAACATTCTGCTTATGCAAGGTCAAAAGAGAGTTTAATTTTGGACTTTCCAGTGGTGTGTAAGAGTAGAAGTGTCAGGATGGTGTTATAATCAAAAGTTTACAGAAAACCTGCTTGCACAATAAATTAAACACCAAAAAGAGATTATCTACCTAAGTATTTGGTTCAGCTCAATCTATATGTAAACCCCAGAAAGAAACACCAAAACTATATGTAGACTAACACTCAATCTAATAAATTAACGACATATTAATATCATTTCTCAGGACCAAATTAATATCCTTAATGATTGATTGTTTCGCTCTTGTATCTTCCAAAAGGAAAAAAGATCTCTGAGAGTTGTTTCCTGGATCTGAAAGAGAGTAACTGGGTTCTCCCAAGTACTAAAAAGTGTATCTATGCCCGAATCTAACTGGGGCTCACGGTGGTGGAGGAAATGGATCGGAAAAAAGGAGGGATTCTAGTTGAAAGATATCTAATGAAACTGCCCCTGGAATTGAGATCTTATTCAAAGAGAAATATATCAAATATCTGGAGTTTCATTTTGTATATTATATGGATGTTTCGTGGGTTTATAGTGGCTTCTAAGCCAAGAGAATCGCCATTGAGTCGTAATGTTTGGTTGTGAGGTCGACATTGTTTGTGCTAATCCATTCACTGGAGCAGGAGAGAATGAAAGTAGAATTTCATCTTGGTCTTCTGAAAGTGCCGAACCCAGCTTTCCCTAAAGTAGATGGCAGTACGCTCGTTTTCACAACCACAAGATGCTATGGAGAATGGGTGCTTAGACCTATCAACACGAAATCAACGCTCGTTTGCAAAAAACTCCAGATTTTTTAAGCCTAAGCTACCAGCTTGGCAGTTTCTAAATTTCTGATTAAACCTCAAGCACAGACCTGCACGGCCATTTCATTCAAGTATTACAAACACACGAACAATGTAAAGACCATTATAGTATTATCTAGTTCCTCTGCTCAAGCCAGATACAAAAATGGAATCAAAAGGCAGAGAAAGAATTGTGGACCACTTTCGCCGTCTAATTTACAGTAGTTCTACAAGACATCACAACTAAACATCTAATAAAAATAATATAACTAATGCAATTTAAATAAGAAAACAGGTGCAAAATTCATTAAATAAGAGAAAAGCAAAATTCTTTGTGAAAATCTTCTTTTTTGGCGTCCTGTAACAGATATAGAATTATACATTGCGGATTGCCACTTCATCCTCTCTCTCTCTCTCTTCTTCTGTGAGGAGAAAAAGCAAGCACAAAGAAAATGAGAAAGGGAGAAAGAAAAAGTGGTGAACGAGATGGGAGTTCATATTCTCTATGAAAAATGATTAAACAAGTGCTCTACACACACACGCGAGAGAGACAAGTAGTATTTGGAGGATCTTTCTAACACCAAAAATCTTGCTCTGGAAAAGCCTCTAAAGAAAGGACTTCATTAGAAGAAATTTGAAAGAGAACATAAGTTTGATGAATACAATTTTCAATGCCCTTTCAGAACCAAAAAGTTATTTTGATGTTTAGTGACAAATATGAGAAGTACTTTAACTATTATAATAACTTCTAATTGAAAATTTTACCTTTTACCATAATAAATATTTAACATTGCCAAATAAATTAAAATACAACAGTGCTACCGCTCATAAATATTTTTTCGTTGTGAAATTTGTGATAAACTGATGACTCTTTCATTAGATTGCTCAATGGGATGACAAAATATTGGAGTTGCAGTACATTGAGCAATCTAATCAAAGAGCCATTGTGGAACAAAAATATCAGAGTTGCAGTACATTGAGAAATCTAATCAAAGAGCCATTGTGGAACAAGGCTACAATCTCAATGAGTGCAAACCGATCTAATCCGGCCATCTCGTCAGATTTTAACGCAGTGCAAAAATTCAATGAATCTACAAATCATCAATGATATGGCTAACAGAATGGTTCTATTGATGACCTCGATGAATGGTACCAATATGCCCTCTTCATTTCACTGGCACACACAAAGAGCATGAAGTAATGAGATCAAGTTTACTAAAATGAATTCAGGCTGTCTTGTGAAGGCATCATTGCTTTTCTAACCACTTCAATATAAGACAGTGCACCTTAAAAATAGAGGGAGAAAAAAAAAAGCAGTACCAGTGGTTGAACCTTCAAGAGTCAAGCTGCTGTTCTCCTCCTAAAACGTACTGTTGGTTGTCAAATGTTTATGTATCCTGCCAGGAGAATATTTTAAAAATATAATGCCAACAAATATAAAAAATTGGAACACAAAAAAATCTGGTGGTATGTCAAAAGGGGAAGTTAAAAATAATAATTTAAAGCTTCAGCTGTGAACAGTAAATGACCAAATTACCTACAGAATTTTCAAAAATTTGCTAGGCCACACACTTGCAGTTGTGTGAGCCTCTCAAAGATAAAACCTTCGAGCTAGGCTTGCCTTGTCCAAAGGACAATCACTGTCGAAGACATGATTCATCCATACTTTCCAGCAATCCAGACCAACAATAACACAGATCTGCCAACGCATTGAGATCCGTTGATGCACTTTTACCATGGCAACAACTACTACTGACCCATTCCAGTGTAACATCTCACATTGAAACCCTTGTAGATCAGGTGAAGTACTTGGCGCACCATTGCACTTAGAACCCACGCTAGCATTTTGGGACTAAAAATAAATAAATAAATGAATTAAACAGAACTAGTACTTTAAATTCAAATGACATATAGACAGATAAGAATATGTATATAATTATGTTTGACTTCATTATAAATTGGGATGCTTGTTGTAACACTTACCAACAAGGATTTTAATTGAGTCATTCCATTCATCATTTCAGCTTTCATTTTACCCATCATTTCAGCTTGCATCTTTATTCATCATTTCAGCTAGCTCAGATTTTAAAGCTTCAACTATTTCATCAACTTATTCTTGCTTTTTAATCTCATATCCTTTCACTTGCCCCTTCTGATAACCATTTGCATCAAGTTTAGAAATTGTTGCTCCAATACAAAGGCCCCTAACCTGCTCTCAACGTTCTGGACCAACCATGTGAGTGGCTGCATCATCTCAAAGAGAGTTTGTACCTTGGGGTTGGGGCATTTGTGTCTCAAATTCCATGAATAAAGAATGTTTGTAGATACATAATAATTATAAGGGTAAATTACAATGCACCCCTGAGGTTAGGTGCAATTTGACACGGAGAGACATTTTGTTTTTAACTTGCATTCACATTACAAAGAGTTGATTCGTAGCTCACACACCCCAAAAGTCACTGTTAGGTGGTGCCAGAACACTTTTTACGTGTAAATGACATTGGTACATTACTACCCTTTTGACTTTGTGCTGACTTTGTTTCATGTATAAAATGACTTAACTACCCCAAGAGACCCATTTTAAGTGACCAAAATGTCCTAAAATTGAACCCTTGCTCTTCTCCTCTCACTAAGTACATATATAAATATATATTATATACTTTATCTATATTTATGTATGTGTATCTTATACACACAATTACACTAAACCAAAATGATAGATCAAAACAAACAATTCAGTACCCTTCAATTGAGACCCTTCAACATTGGTCAAAAGAAATACTACATCAAATTTTCCTCTTATTGCATGTTTATAGTTTATCCAGTGACCACCTGCTTGTCCATTCAAAGACTATTGTGTAAAGGAAAAAACCATTTAATATAAAATAATTTCTTCTAAAAATGAAATTACTGTTCTACATATTTACCCAAATGGGGAAACAAATTCCGGCAAGTGAGAGGAAACGACTCCCTAAACCGGATTTTTACGCATTGTGTCCATGAAAACAAAGGAGAATTTTATCCATAAAACAGTTGATGTATAGCAAATTAATCCCCTTAAATCAATCCAGAAATTCAGAAAGCAGCTGGAAACCCACCCCACCCTTTCTTGGGTGGCTCACTGACACAAGTTTCCCCAATTTTGTGCCACATTAGAAAGTTCAACAACTATAATAAAAATACATATATATAAGCTCTATCAAATGTGTTTTCAATAGTAACCTGAAGATAGAATCTTGGAGCCATGACAAAAGAGAATGGATCCATTCTCTTGGCAAAATGATTCGAGAATACCTCTGTAGTCCCAGCAATTATCATGGGTCCTCCACTAGAGCCAACAACACCTTTCAATAATCCATCTTGTAAATGCAAAACAAACACAAACACACACACAAATTTGGTGGCAACGTCGCCACAAATCATCACCACAGCTGCAGTCGAGCCCCAACAGCTTAATCGGAATCTTTCCTGCATTTGTTCCTTTCTGTTCAGCAACGATAACACCTTCGACTTCAAGTTTTTCGGCAATGTTGGTCGGTTCATCCGGCTTCCGAAGTATCTCCAAGGACGCTCAAACTGGGACCACTTGTGTGTGTGTGTGTGTGTTATATATATATATATAGAGAGAGAGAGAGAGAGAGAGAGAGAGAGAGAGAGGGGGGGGGGGGGGGGGAAGAGATCGCCCTTCATACTTATTACTTAATAAGGGTAGTTTCGTCTTTTTTGCATCTCTGATATATTTTTTTATTATATTGCAGTAAAAAAGTGGGGGCATATATGAGATTTTACATTACTTTTAAATCAATATCTGACATGGGGTCTCAGTGAAAATTAAAAACAACATGTCTCTCCATGTGAAATTTAACCAAACCTAAGGGGTGTCATTGTAATTTACCTAAATTATAAAATAATTAGGAAAGATATGTTAACACTGCTTCCCTTGTTGAATAATTCATAGGATTCCCATCATTCCTCGAGTGACCTTTGATCCATACATCGACTCCTGATACAGAGTCGGGCACATCACTTTTTTTTTATTATTATTATTATTATTTCTGTACACGAACAAATATTTGTGTGGAGAAAATAAATAAATAATCTCTACACTCATGGCCAATAACAGGATAATGCAAAAGAAACACAAGTTTACTACAGCGTGACCATCATCTTAATTCCATTTTACCAGGAGACAGATATCCAATATTGCAAGACTCATTGCAATACAATCCCATTTTACTACAGCATGACCATCATCTTAATTCCATTTTACATATCCAATAGTGCAAGACTCATTGCAATACAATCCCCCATTTTATGCAAACAGAATGACTGATGAAAGAATAACTTTGCAGGTTTCAAACTTCAGAAATTTCAGAAAGCATTTTTAGGTCAACTTTGAAGCACTGCATAACTCATTTGAATTAGAATTAGAAGGTGATCTATATATGGTTTGAAAGCTCTATGAGTATACTTTCCAACACAACAAACGGTGATGAGTTCAAACCTTTCTAGAGACAATAATGGCCATTTCAGTAATGGGCACGTTTGTTCACTGAAAATTCTGCTCACAAAATATGCATGAGCAAAATAATGTGAGCAGAATTATGAGACTTCAGCAGATACATATATATATATATATATATATTTTGATAAGTTAGACTCAACATGAATCAATCACTGACAACTTTTCATATTAGTACTAATACTATGGTTCAATCACAATAAACATTGATAAGTACCACTTACCATTTCATCCTCAAGACGAGTATAGCGTTTGCGATTTGTGTGTAACATTACTTCACAAGTCTATATATTCTTGTCTCTTTTCCTATAAACAAATAATTTAAAGTGACCACTCCGCTAGACAATGGGTTAAAGAATATCCCCACACTGTGTGGATTTGAAGAACTGGCAAAACAGGAAAGACAACTCTTGCCAAAGTTTTTTTTTTAACTTAAAACTCATTTTCTATTAGAATCTCATTAAAAAGTTCTTGCTGCAGATATGTTAGACCATAATTTTGAAACTTTTCACATTTTCAAGAAAAAAATTACTTTCAAATTGATTGAATATTCGGTTGGAAACAACTTTGGCAATGGTTGTCTATCCTATTCCCCCAGTTCCACAATTCCGCACAATGCGCACATCCTTTAACACATTGTTTGGCAGAGTGCTCACTTTTTGGAACGAGAATCTATCCCCAATTGGTACTTGGCAACATTTAATGGTATATGCCCCAGTTCTTTTATAACCCCTTGAATAATCTTCACCTCATGCCTGTCAAAGTACAAAGCATATTAAAACTTACCCAAAAAATAATAAATAAAAAAAGAAAAGAAAAGAAAAACTACAAAGCATAATAAAAAAATAAAGTGCAAGGGTCTAATTGTACTAATAAGAGAAATAAAATCAAGTTAATACAGTGAATATCACCTGTGCCAATATCCTGTGGTATTCTACCAAATTTTAAATTGTGTCTCTTGAAAGGGATTGAAAAGGAAATGAGAAACAACATGTAATTAATGGTCCCAACTCCCAACCAAGTTGAGAATGACATCAGAGTATTGACTAGCTTTACTTTTTTGCCTAAATTTTTTTTTTGATAGATTTACTTTTTTGCCTAAATTACTGCAAAAGTTCTTCGAATTTTGCTTTTTCAGTAGGCCCTCTCAGAATCTCATTTAGTAAAGAAAGTGACCTAACACTTCACCTCATTGCCCAATCCAGATATGAGTCGGTGACCTTTATTTGCATGTTCCTCAAATAAAAATCTTTTTCCATAAAACGCACAGATATATATTTTTTATAAGCCAAACATTACATTGTCTAAATTATAAATGCAATTTCATAGAGATTAAAGTGCTATTATACCATCAAACTGTAACTAGTTTTCATCATCAAAGATTGAGAAAGTTGCATCACTGGTTCGGCTCTGTTTTGCACACTCCTGGAGAACCTCAAGGATTTTCTTGATTTAATCCAACACATGCTTTGTGAGAGAATTTCCTTTCTTAAGACTTTTACTTCTAAGTTTCGATTAAAGATTGTAAATTCCTAATCAGCAAATCACTGCATTACAGGTAGAATCCTTATCATACTCACAATTCAACCTTTAAAGCTTTTAAAAGTAATTCCTTATATTTTTCCTGGGCTGTGGAAAGTTAACCTCAAATCAAGTGAAGATATATACTTTGTTCAAATCAATGTCTTTGCTATCATTGTACTACTATAAATTTTAGTTGAAACTTGAAACCGAATCGAGTTAATTTCTAAAAAAAAAAAAATCCTATTTTTAGGTTGAAATTGTGCTTTATAATCCTATTTTTAGGTTGAAATTGTTAGTGAAAATATAATTCAACTAGCCTTGAATCTCATCAAAATTAAGTATCATGTTCTTCCATCTTAATGTACTCAATCCTCGTCATGAACATTTGCAACTTTGAGATTTTTTACCTTAGTTATCACTATTTGAGTAAGTTTTAAGTTGTCCCATACCTCTTTAGAAGTCTGCACATTTTTGGTTTGCTTTTGCAAGCTTAACTAAAATCCTAGTGCAAGAAAATTATAAGTTCATTTTTTATCTGCTTCACATTTTCCTTTTCCCATGAATTTCTCTTTCAGTGAATAATCATCTTGTGTAACACTGCAAAATCTACTTCATTCCATCCAGATATAGTTGGTGCACCAGCGATTCCGTAAGTGTTGTCTATCTATTGTGAAACAGGCGATTTCTTTCCCTAGATACTCATGATCCTTTGTATCACACTATGTTTCTATAGCCATTCAAGCCAACTACATTAAAACTCACATTCCTCTCACTATGCATCTGTAGCCATGATAGTGACAAGTATCAAGGGGATTGCTCCGATTTTTTGTCCCACAAGGAGGGCTGAGGCTAGAAAAAAAAAAAAAAAAGAGGAACTTGTTACCCAGTGTTGGTCATCTATGCAGCCTGTTGGTAGCAGTGGAATGGACACATACCTAACATTTGATAATATTATGCATGTGACAGCTCTTATACCGACCCCGTGCTCTCACAATTTTGTAGGATTTTATGGGCGATGCCCAATAAAATTCCAAGAAGGAGAATAGATTTTGACACAGAACCACGAAGAGGGAAATAGTAATGACCCTTGGTGGTTTAGAATAAAGAATGTAATAAGGCTCAACGGGCTCATCAAGGGAATCATGACAAATGATGGATAATAGATATGATAACCACTCTTCATTTGAATTCAGATTATTTAGTCCTCAAAGCTTTTACTTGTCTACCATGAGAATGTTTAGTAATGGATAAAATGTTGTAGGATAACAAAAATGAGGGCCTCTCATCCTTTTAGACATGATCACTTCGTTAGTGAAGTTCTTTCCTATCATGTCTCACCATCTTTGCAATTTTATGAGTTGCCCCCAATGTGGAGGGTGATCCCTAGTTTGGGTTAGTGAAAGGAATAAAATGAACTCAAAGGGTTAGCAATGGTGAAATTTGTATTGACCGGGGATAAATGAAGTGATGGCCTCTTATCCCTTAAACTTTAATTTGTTAATCTTAAAAGCTCTCGTCATAGCAATGCTTGTCAACGATATTGAACATAGCAATTTTGTTTGTCACAACCGAGCCCAGGTTGTAATCAATACACTTCAATTGTTAGATTAAAAATTTAAGAACGAAATGGTACTCATAAGGAATGTCTATTAAAACAAAGATCAATTGTGAATATACATATATATATATATTTTAAGAAAGAAACATAATATTTGTTGGGAACAACTATACTCATAAGCATACATTTCACTAGTCGCCAGGCAGCCACATACTAAGAGAGAGGCGAAAGATATTAGAAAATAAAAGCAAATATAGTGCCCCAAGAACTTGTTCATATATAGTCAATAGTTGAACAATACATCCAAATTCTGATGAAGAATTCATATAGGCCCAAAAGAAAGAATAAATGAAGAATTCACAGACATAGTTACTCAAGTCTCAATCTAAAATCAAAACAAACTTCAATACTCGAAATTGGTAATATAATTTAGGATGGTAATATGGATGAAGTTTAACTTGATTTTCACCACAAACAATAAATTGAATGAAATAAAACAATAAAACTAAATACTGATATATAGAATCAGATTCAATATACTTTGAGTTGGTAATTAATTACAGATTTGCAATATTGTAATTCAAGGAAGTAAACAAAAAACATTTTCTCGACTTCAGAAACATTTAAATAGAAAGACTTAATTTCTTTTAACTTTTTTTTTTTCCTAGCTTGGATTCTAATTGAATTCAAAACACCTACTTTTTTTTTCTTTCTAAAAACATTTAAAAACCCTAAATTGTTTCTGTATAAGATACATGTATGCACATGTATATATATGTGTCTATATATAGTCTAGAAGCAACGATGAGGAACATCAGAAATCGATCTGAATGAAATTGAACTGCTTTAAAAATTGGGAATCAAACCTTAAAATGTTGTAATCCATAATTGAATTTCAATCATCGATCCAGTACCCTTCGGCTCCAACAACACTCGATTTTTCTCAACTGCTACAAGTAGGAGGGTAAGTGGTGAAGTAAAGCTCTCCAATGAAACTTTCTTGGGAGTGATGAAAGTAGATGGGAGGAAATTACCAGGAAATTGCCGGTTGGTTGACGAGATGGATCAGTGGTTCTCTCTTCTGCCATTTTAATCATGTGTACCCTACATAATTTGTAACGTTCTACCCAAACCATACGATATAATGCTTCCCAATGTGTGATTGGTCCCCCCCTCAAATAAATTTTTTTTTTTAAGGCAAGAATAGTAGATTAATGCCATGTTTGGTTGGGGGTGGGAGGGACAAAAATATATTTTTATGTTTAGTTGGAGGGAAGAATTAAGGAAAGAGGGATGAAGCAACCATCCTTCCTTCCTTCCTTTGTAATTTTTTATTTGTCCAAAATTGAAGGAAGAGGAGAGACAGATTAAGCAGGGAGGATAAAAAATATTTTTGTGTTTGGTTGGAGAGAATAAAAAAGAGGGAGGAAGGAGTGATGAAGCAAGCATCCTTCCATCCTATGTACTTTATATTCCCCTAAAATTGGGGGAAGAGGAGTGAGACAAAAATGATAACTTAATTATTAAGCAATTTTCATTTTTGTGTTTGGTTGGAGGGAAGGAAAGAGAAGGAAGGAGGGATGAAGCAAGCATCCTTCCTTCCTTTGTAATTTTCTAACTGTCCAAAATTGGGGGAAAAGGAGAGAGACATCCTAATACTACTCTAGGTTAAGCACGCTTCACTCTGGCACACCCAGGCGATGTATTGTGCACCTGCACACGCTCACACACACCCGCCCACGAGGTTGCCACAATTACCCCCTTTGGGGCCCAACGTCCTCGTTGGTCACACTTTCAGCTGGGTCAAGCTCTGATATCATTTGTAACGACCCTCACCCTAGTTAGACACAATATTGTCTGCTTTTAACTCCCTTGGACCAGAGACTTCCCATGGGGTCACCCATCCTAGTACTACTCCAAAATGGGTTCACGGCTATCACGGCTTTAAAACACGTTGTGTTATAGAAGAGTATTAAATTTACATATAACACTTGCCCTATCCACACCTAGGCGATATGGGATTGTACACCTGTAACTCGTCTAGTGTAATAGTGTACTGGTGCCACTTATACACGCTTACACACACTCGCCCACGAGGTTACCACATAAAGCATCCTTCCTTCCTTTGTAATTTTCTATACGTCGAAAATTGGGAAAAGATGAGAGAGAGAGAATATATATATATATATATATATATATATATATTATAACTAACAATTACTAATTAAGTAATTTATATTTTTAACCTTTTTAAAAATTTGAAATGAATATCTAATATTTATAATTGTATATAATAAGGGTATATTAGTAAAAATATATATAAAAACTCTATCTCTCTTCCTTCCAACTAAACAAGAAAAAAAAAATTACCATATCCATCATTTTTACTTTCCATTCTATTCAACCAAACAAAAAGTGAGAGAGATACATTCCCTATGAATGCCTCAACCATCCCTCCTCCTCTCCCTTCCATCTATTTTTTCATCACTCCAACCAAACAGAACATAAGAGTTAGTGGTGTGGTGTGAAGGTTTGAAGTCGAACTCTCAAGAACAATGGAGAACAACCCAATAATATTTCACATAGACGTCCTCCACTTTCATAATATCACATTTATCCGGACTCTCTCCTCCTATTTTTATAATGTGAATAACTATTTTTTTATCATTTTGCTTATGAAGTGTTTGTGAAAATTAAAAGGACAAAAATGTATAATTATGGAACTTAGGGGAGTTTATGTAAAATATTGGTAAGAGGTATGTAATACCCTAATTTTAAAATGATAGTCTCGGTAGTTATTTTATGGTTTTATTGCATTTTTTTAAAATTTATTATTTGATTATTTGTATAATTGTTTAATTGTTTGTGACGGTCCTGGTTTTTTAAGCCAGTGCGTCCTTTGATGAACCGAAGATTGACCCGATAACGGATCCAGATGCGGAAGCAAGAAACAAGAAAACGGTCTCCCAAGACACAACACACCTCTAAGACATTTTGATGACTTTCCATGAGGTCGTGAAACTCAATGAGAATTGACGAGGAAGTAAAAGATCAGAAAAATAACAATTAAACCCCTAGAGGCAAAATAATCATTTTACATGGAAATGACGTCCCTAAAATGTATATTATTCCCGAGATGGGAAGTCACAGAACTCAAAAGAAAGTAGCAGAAGTGGAAAGCAAGAAAAAAACTAGACAAAAATAGCCCAAGGGCAAAATAGTTATTTTTTGAAAATATGGATTCGGGTGCCACCAAGCACACTGCAGGATATACAACGACAAACTAATCAAGATGGACTTAAGAATCACATGATTCGGAGTCCGAAGGAAGGAGAAATGATAAGACGAAGAAAAACGAGTACTTAAGGCTAAAAGGGTAAACTAGTAATTATTCAGAAAGATCCAGGTGCAACCGAGCACACCATTGGAAAGACAGCGAAAAATTAATCAAGTTAAAAAAAAAAAAAAAGTTCACTCGATTTGGAGTCCGGACGAAGGAGAACGACTGAAAACAAAAATTGACGTCAGGACGTTGAGACGGGACATGATGAGCGCCCATGAGTATCCCCACGAGCATCCTGACAAGCACCATGACATGCAAGGAAAAAATAAAGAAAAAAAAAAGAAAAAAAGAAAAAGAGGTTTTCCACAACTGAGGCTTGAAACAAAGGCCGAAACAAATTTTTTTGCAAAAGTATGAAGAAGAAACCCCTCCCGAAATTGAGTTTTCTACCCAGCCACGTAAAACAAAATGAAAAAACCAAACTATGAAATACCAAAAATGCCCCCAAGAAAAATCAGGTCAAGAGGGTGCTTAAAAGCTGCTGAAGCTAAAAGGAAGTTCTGCTGTCCAGAACTGAGAGCAGAAACGGGCATGAAGATGATATTTTCTGGAAAAACATGAAGAAGAAACCCCCCCCTAAAATTGAGTTTTCTACCCAACTTCATGAAAGAAAATGAAAAAAAACTCACTGTGAAATCTCCAAAATGCCCCTAGATCAGAAGAGGTCAAGAGGGCCAAAAAGCTGCTATAGGATTTATCCACAACTGAGAGCAAAAACGGGCTATCAAACGAATTTTTCTGGAAAAACACAAAAATAAACCCCTTCCAAAATCAAATTTTCTACTCGGCTATGTGGGAGAAAATGAAAAAAACACACTGTGAAATGGCCAAAATGCCCTTAGATCAGTAAAAGGGTTAAAAACTCTGAAAATGCAATTTTACACTAAGTATGCATTTAATCCTAAATGCATTTCTAGGTCGAAACGAATGTGAATGCAAGTGTAATAAATGATTCTAAGTGCGCGGGAATGGTCCGCAGCTCCCGAGAAGCCCCGACTCAAAATCTGACCCCCCGACGGCCAAATATGAGAAAAATGGACCTGAAATGGAAAATTTGAAATTCAAAAATATAAAATAGAGTCAAATTACCGTTTGACTCTTGGTCACACTTCATACATAATTAATAAGACTCTATCGAAGAATAAAATTGGAATTCTCATACTCGATACAACCATGGTGAGACAATAACTTGTGATTGTTCAATATTTTCATAATATTTCATGAAGTTAAAAGTTACATAGGATACAAGATACATGTCATTGGCCGCCAGTCTCATCTCATACATGTCAAATACATTACAAAAGGTATACTTATGTACACATTACATATATGGAATCAAGGATACAAGTTTTGACATATAAGGCTACAAAATGACATTTCATGCTACATTTGCATGAAATGGAAACTTAAAAGTTATAAGTCATCCAAGGAATGATGAGCATCACGAACCAAGTTTTCGTACCTGAAAAATGTCCCTAATAACTTTGGGGTGAGTAACATAAAGTTACTCGTAGGAGATGAGCATACATAGACCTAGCATTTTACAAATTTATCACCTTAAGGTGAAACATGTTAAAGGGGCTCATGCCACTTAACGTCTATGTCAAAGTGAGACTTAGGGAGCATCTTAAGCTACCTTAGAGTATTTCTAGCATAAACCACATCATTCATGCAATTTAAATGACCTAGGAGCACATAGTGTAACACAACAATACATAGGCATCCAAAGTTATCAACTTTTAACCTAGAATGCGATAACTACTGAAACGGTTCATGCCACCTAGAATCTAAGTCAAGATGCTTATATAGGATCATTCCTAAGTCATATCAACATGAAGTAACATGAATCATGATGTCTATGAAATTGAACAAGGTTGGGACATTACATACAACATGACAAGATTTAAATCTTCAAGAAATACTACTTGAAATTTAAAAAGGGAAATCATGGGTAAAACATGATGTCTGTGTAATTTAAACAAGGTTGGATCATCCCATATAACACGAAAAGTTTTAAATCTTCAAGGAATGCAACACTTGAAATTTAAAAAGTGAAATCAAGGCAAAACATAAAGTCTATGCAATTAAACAAGGTTGGAATATTCCATATGACATGAAAAAGTCTTAAATCTTCAAGGAATACAACACTTGACATTTAAGGAGTGAAATCAAAGATGAAGCATAAAATCTATGCAATAAAACAAGGTTGGAATATTCCATAAAACACGAAAAGGTTCTTAAATCTTCAAAAAATAACACTTGAAATTTAAAGAGTGAAATCCAAGATAAAGCATAATATCTATGCAATTAAACAAGATTGAAACATTCCATATAACACGACAAGTTTTAAATTTTCAAGGAATAGCAACTTAAAATTTAAAGAGTGAAATCAACCAATGTGGATACTCGGATATCGTCCGGATAAAAACCATACTCTTGTGATCACTTTAGGGCTACTAACCCATGTGTACCTTCCCCTAGTGCGCACTATGATGTAGGGAACTCTCTATCTCCCGTACTAGAACCAAGTCCTAGTAATGTCAATTTTTGATTGATATCTTAAGTTCCAAAATCAACACGTTGTGAAAATCAAGATATAATATATATTCGATGCTCTTAGCCAAGTACCATGCACAACAAGTCATGGAGATCACACAAGGTATGCCCTAAGCATTCAAGCTATGATGGCACATTAAATGTCATATAAGTAAATGTGTATGCTAACAAGTCCAATCATAACTTCAACTTGTAGAATACTATCATGTGATCATAATGCAAGTTCTAAACTATAAATTTGGCAAGAATTCAATATCAAAGCATAATTAACTCGATGGAAGCATAAAAGAGAATTTAATCAACTTAAAAAATTAAATTCTCAATACTACAAGGCAACTCTAAATATTCTATGAACAAGATACGTCAAATGCCATGTCAAGGACTACTTTAATATCAAGTTACAAGTTCATTCCATACGAGATGCAACTGTGATATCCCTCGGATCCGAGACACGGGTTGATCAGGCCCAGGCCCAAACCCGAGGGAATATCAAACAATTAAAGTATTTTAAACCGAACA